CGAGCAGCCCACAACTAGTTGGAACCCCCCGAGGCACCGGCTCCTGCACATCTGAGGGCAGGTCGATCCACGCCACCCCATCCCACCCCAGCAGGAAGTACAAACCTGGTGATAATGTAAGGACCAAAACAGATCACGAAAGACCCTATAAAAATACTGATTTTCTTGGTTGCCCGCTGCCTTCTCCGCTTCTGCTCATTAAGGCAGCGCTGCTTCACACTGCAAAGGGAAAAGAGCAATCAGTGGGTTAAGGCAAGAAGCGAGACGAGCTCTCCCGGACCAAGCTGAGAGGGGAAGGACTCTCAGCCCCAGCCCCGGGGAGCCTGGAGGTGATCGCTGTCACCGAAGCAGCAGCTCCCCGTTAAAGGGGAGCTGGGACACCTGGGAGTACCCGGCGTCTGGGACTAGCATTTAAACAAAGAGGGCTACAAATGCACAAGCCACCATCTTCTGGCAAGATAAGCAGCTTTTGGAATTGGAGGCGGGAGGTTTCGCCGAATGCCCGGGGCAGGCAGGACTACACAAAAGGGTGCTGGGGAGGCAGGACACCCTTTCCACCCTGGGGTACTGCAAGAGCCCTGGGACCGTGGATATGAACATGCACACGTTACCTGGGGTGGATGTCCACCAGCAAAACCAGAGTTTGCATGGTAATAATGTCTATCCGCTTGCAGTGGAACCGGGCGACTTTCAACACCTTTAAATAGGTGAAACACAAGATCACCAGCGATAGCATGAAACTGGTGGCATGAAAGACGATGGTGAACACTGTAAACCTTCTCCGCTCCGTCTCTTCCTTCAGGTGCAAGGTGCAAGAGGCATAAACGCTGCTGTAATCTACCCACGAGTAAAATAAGGATACCAAGGGGAAGGTGAGGGAGTGGAGCCACGAGTAGCCCATCAGGATCACAGCGTCCTTATACCGCATCTTGCTGGTGTAGCTTAAAGGGAACACCACGGCAATCCACTTGTCGATGCTGAGCGCTGCCATGCTCAGCATCGTGTTGGAAGTAAGGAAAGTTTCCAGGAAGCCCACCGCTTTGCAGACGCAGCCCCCGAGGGGTTGCTGGTTCCTCAGGATCCCCAGCAGAGTGAAAGGCATGTTCAGGACGGTAAGGAGCAGGTTGCAAAAAGATAAGTTCACCAGGAAAACCCCGGCGACTTGCTTGCGGATCTCCGTACTGTAGACGAAGCATAGCAGCACCAGGAGGTTAGAGAGCAGAGAGACAACCAGCACCAGCACGAGGAGCAACGCCAGCAGCACGCCTGCCAAGTCCATCTCTCAGCGGGTCGCCTGGAGCGGGCGAGGGCAGGAGGAAGGGGACATCCGA